CTATTTAACAATAGAATGTAGCATCATTATATTATGATAATTGGATAATGAATCAATTTAACTTTATTTAAGTTTAATTGGCGAAAAAACAATTAAAATTTTAATTAAAAAAAAACAAATCAAATATACAATATTAAAAAAAAAAAAAATATGTCAAAGTTAGGAAAAAAATTTATAATCTGAAATAGTATTACTTCTTGCTATACAATGCATTCCTTCGTATCTAGCAGCATATCTAGCATTTTGTTGATTATTAACTTTATCTAGCCTAAGCCTATTTCTTTTATTTCTGTGACGATTATTTTCAACTTGCCTAACCACACTCTCCTCATTTGGCTTCAAATTATTTGCTGCTTGTCGAGAAGCATACCTAGCATTTTGTCGATTATTAATTTTATCTTGCCTAAGCCCATCTCTTTCATTTCTGCGACGATTAATTTGCCTATTAACATTTCCATTTTCTAAACGAATATCTGCTTCTAGCCTAATATCATTAATTTAAACTTCACTTTTAATTGAAAATAGTGACAAAAAATCTTAAAAAGAAACTTGAGGATTGTGATCTTTTCTATATAATTTTTTTTCTACTTTAAATAGCACACACAAATAATTTTTAAATATAAGAAACTGTCTACAAAACTTAACAATATTTTGTTCTTCTATAACACATAAATACATCATTTGATAAATCTAAAATAAAAAATGTAACAAATAAGTAAAAAAATAAGAAAAACATTACATACAAAAAACGGAAATCATTGTACCTGATAGAGGAAAGCTGTTATGATTTACCAGAGTAGTAGTAGTAGGCTTTTAGTGACTATATATAATACAGAGTAGTAGGCTTTTAGTGAATGATTAAAAGCAGTGAGGTCTAATAATGAAATTACCTATACATCATTTTTTACAATAGGCAACAACTTGAAGGTAAGCTAAATGTATATCAACTCAAAAGATTACAAAAAAACAACATCACAACAACAATAGCATTCACCATAAGTTCATATAATATGCATATAACATAACTTAAGAAACATAACATTCATATTTAACAGAACATATGTAACAACATTATGTAAAGTGTTAATAAAATACATTGTTATGTATTTTCAGAGTATTTATTAATAAAGGCTTGAAAACACCTAGACCTAAAGCAGTAACAGTTTGACAGGAAACACAGCTGTGTAACCCTCTGCAGTAAGTAAATGACTTGGCTGGCAAGGTTGACAAATCTTGCTTTTCACGTTTACCAAGTCACAGCACTTTGAAAACATGGAAATAACATAATATAAACATAAACTAACTATAAACATAATATATATATATATATATATATATATATATATATATATATATATATATATATATATATATATATATATATATATATATATATATATATATAACCTTATATATATATATTTAACCTTATATTAACATATTTAAACACATTTGTAAAACAATTATATAACTTATATTAACACATACACAAACAATAAAAAAACATGTTACATTATTATAAAAGCACATTGATAAAAAAGCTATGAAGCACATTTTACAATATACACATAATTATCAAAAAAGCAATGCAAACAATAAACATATAACTTGAATTGTGCAAACAAAAATTTTAAGAATGGCATGAAAAAATTTTAAAAGATTCAAAGTAAACAAAATATAAATATTTATATACAAACAATACTCTTTACCTTTTTTTTTCATAAGAACTGTAATTCTCATAACAAAAATTTAATCTTTACATACAATAACATGTGACATGTCAGTAGTGGCACGAAATTTCAATTTATTTTTATAAATTTTCTAAAAAAGAGCAAAAACAGTTAATAGCATCACAGAAATTTCATGGTAGTAATAACCAATTTTATTGAAATAGCATCAGTATAACTTTTTTGTTGCATAAAAAATAATTAGACCTCATTCTTCTTCTTTCTAAAAAAATAGAAAATATGCTCAATAAAAACAAAACTGCTAGAAAAAAATAAAGCCAAAAGAAAAACTAAAACAAACAAAATCTAAACGATTTAAAAAATTAAAAGGAGTGATCCTTTTTACTTTATTTTTAATAAAAAAATATTATATATAAATGGCAAAACTATTTTCAATGCTTATATGATCTTAACGATGATTATTAAAATATGACCTTAACGATGATTATTTATCTTAATATGATTCTTTATGTAATATTTCTAAACTAATCTTAATATTAATTCAATTCCAAAGGTAAAAAGTTTTAACTCGCTTGAAAGATCTCCCTCTAATAACCGCGTGCATTTTGAGAACGCGCTGTTTCAAGTTCAGAAAAGCCTTAAAACTAATTAAAACTGCTTTAAAAAACGAAAGCGAAACGACATTGAACATTGAATTTTTACAGTATTAATATTTAGAATTATGACTCCAGACAGAATTCTCGGAGCCTTAAATCTTTTAAACTATTATCATTTGTTTTATATATTTTTTTAATTGTCAAAATTTTGAAAGTTAATTACAAGTTATATATTTTATTAGTATATTCTTATTTTTTATATTTCTTCCTAGTGCTTGGTTTATTTAATTGTTCGTTAGATTTGTCGAAACAACTTTCATCGAAATGTAAAGAACACACTAGTGAACCATCGGATAATATAGTGAATCATCGGATATAATATAACCCGATTTGGCCAAAAAAGTAAAATTTAATAGTAAAATTTTTAAAGAATTTTTAGAATGTTTCCAATGACGTCATGTACTAACTTGAATAAATTAATTCTATAATATGAACACATGTCTCAGGACTTGGTGGTCACTTTAAATTTATTTGCAACACTAATTTTTTTTGCAACATTAAGCCTTTCAAATATATTCAACACTATTCTGAAGTTCATTTTTCAACATTATTTCTGTCACCCACAAAAAGTTACAAGTTTATCCCCACCATGACCCTGATAGTAACGTGCTCAACTTGTTTCTTTGTGCCGCAACTTTTTATTATCAAGGTTTCGTGTTTCCGAGTTATAGAATTGAGAGAGGGATATAAGCACAACTAAAGTAGCCTCCTCGACTGTAGTGGCTTGGCTTTGTGCAGGTAAATTAACAATTAAAAAAAATGAAAATTTAACAGTTTTATACAGAATATAACTATTTTATAATTTTATACCAAAAATAACTAAATATATAAAGAATATAAACAAGCTGAATTTAGAATATTTTATCAAAATAAGCTAAATGTGGACTTGAAAGATGCATTAAACTGAAAGCCAAATTCTTATATGTTAAATTTAACTGAATGTTATTTAAGATCTTAAACAGAGTGTGGCCTCAAATGTCCTTCTCTGACTTATATTATAAAACTCTCCTTGATGTCAAAGACTTTACACTCATAAACTGTTCCATTTAGTCTTGCAAAGTAAAATAACCTTTTTAGTTAATGTTCAAGTCAGCACATGCTTTTTTGAGCTAAGGAAAATAACAGTGGGCTTCTTTGAAGATTAGCAGCCAACTCACCATATTTGTTGACAGCCTTCTAGATCAGTTTTACATTAGGAATACTCTTTGTCACTATTAGATGCAAAGTGTGTAGTTTAAAGGTGCAAGTATAACTTCTGTTTTAAGCTTCTTTTTTATTTATTTTTTCTATACTAAACAAAGCTATAACGAAAATGTTTAATTTTTGTAAAGGTAAAATGACCATTAATATAAAGCAAATTCAAACAAAAATATGTTGGTTTATGGATTACAATAAAATTGAAACATGTAAATTCTGCACAACATTCTTGTCAGATTGTAGTCAAGTCTGACATGTTGTGTATTATTTTCCTCATTTATTTAAATACCAAGTATAAGGATTATAAGTAAACAAAAAAACTTATAAGTTTTAATTATTAGTAAAGGTCCAAAAAATTTGTGCGGTTTTTTAAAAATCAAACAATTTTTAAAAATCAAAAATCAAAAAATTGTGCTAAAACTATTTGCGCATTTATGATTAATATTTGTTTATTACTTTAGGGAGAAAGTTTAAGGATTTAAATTTAAATGTTTTAAATTAGAAATTAATTATTCGATAATAAAATTTATAATAATAAAAAAATAATAATAAAATATTTTTAAAAAAGTTATTAGAATTCTTTTTTTCTAAAAGTAAAAAAAGTTTTTTTTATATATATTAAAAATTTTTATAAAAAGTTTAAATTAGTTTTTATATATTTTTAAAATTAATTTTGTATACATTTCTGCAAAAGAGTTACTAGCATTTAATTTATAAGATTTAATAAAGATTTTTAATAAGGAAATAAAATACTTTTGTTTAAAATTTTCTAATTTCACAATTTTATTTTAAATTTTTAATCACTGCAAAATTCCTTTAGACTGTTGTGATTAGCGGTTGTTTTTTAATAATTATATCTTTATCATAATTTATTTTACTAGTTTTATCTGATGATTTATGAAATTAATTAAAATATTAAAGTTTAAATCATAATCGTTAATAATAATAATAATAATATATTTTTTTAACAATAAGGTTTTTAAGTAAGATTTTATATCATAATTTCAATAAGATCAAATTTCAAATTTGATAAGATCAATTTGAATATTAATAAGTTTCAAATTTAATAAGATCAATTTGAATATTAATAAGTTTCAAATTTAATAAGATCAATTTGAATATTTTACATTGAATATCAGCTATTGAGTTCAGTGATCTAAATGGAATTTACAATTTTAAAAAAGCTAAAAATTTAAAGACTGGTAGCTTTTTCCATATATAGCAATTCACAATCACTTCATTTGAGCCCTGTATACTGTGTGTAAGGATAAAAAGTAGTTATATAACCATTAATTAATGATTAATGTGAAACTAATGTATGACTAATGTAATTGATTAATGATTAATGTAAGAATAATGACTAATGTAAGATTAATATAAGGATTATATAAACTTAAGTAAATATCAATTATTTTAAGGTTTCAATTTTTTTTAAATTTAAGAACATTGTTTTATTTAGAGTTTAGCAGCATTATCATGCAGTTTAAAATCTTCGATTGAAGGTATTATCATTTTTTATAGTTGATGTTATTTTATTTTGATAAAATATATATCAATAATTTTAAAATTGTTTATAATATTCATTAGATTTTACTTAATATTACATAATTTTTAATTTAATTAAATACAATCTTGTTTCTAACATTTAAGGAAAATAAAGTTTTACTTTTTCATTTTAAAAAAAATCTTTCTCCTTAATTAAAAATTGAGTATAAAACTTTTCATTTATGAAAAAATATATATATATTTTAATTTTTACCTTAATAACCAATTATTCCTAGATACCATGATTATAACAGATTGCAAGTTTTTTATCATATTCTTTCATTATACTGGCTTCATAAGTTACTATGGTTACTATATTCTAGTCTAAGTTCAAACTAATTGAATCAAACTTATTAGTAATTAGTCTAACAGCTTTAGCTGTTGGTATTGTACACTCTTAGCATTCAAAGAAAATTCATTTCTTCATTATAATAAATATTTTATGTCCCAAAACTACTTTATTAAAACTTAAAAGTTTTAACAAAATCATTCTGGTTAAGAGCTTCAAGGTAACTCATGCCCAAAATGACATCATTAGCTTGTCTCAATATTCAAAATATCATGAATTAGTAAATAGTTTATTTCAGAATCTTTTGAATAGAGATTAAATCTGACTTAGTTAGAAATGCAAGTTTATAATAGTTTAGAACTGCACAATGTTTGTAGAACTTGTTTTCCAACTGATGTGTGTGTGTTTTAAAGAAACTTGTATTTCGTCGCAAAAATTAGTCTCTTGTGACTTCTGGAGAATCTTTAACAGTATTAATAATAAGGGCAAATCTGTTATTCCACCTCTTTTGTATGGTTCAGATTTTGTCATCTCACCTAAAGGCAAAGCTGAATTGTTTTCTAAGAACCTTTCATCAGTATCATCTCTTGATTCCATTAGTTGCAATCTATCTAATATAGCTTGACATTCTTATCATTCTAGCTTCTGTATCTAATGCAATTTCCTGCTTAGACTTTTTTACAGCTTGTGGTCCGGAAAACATATCTGTTTTAGTCTTGCAGAAGTTTTCTCCTCTATACTTTTAAAACTATTCAACAAGTGCTTGTCAGAATCATGTTTTCTAGCCTGCTTGAAAGCAGTTTCTGTTATCCCTATTTTGAAAAATTCTGTAGAGCGATCTGATTTATCAAACTACCATCCCATTAGTCTTCATCCTATCATAAGCAAAGTTTTTCAATCTTTAATTAACAAACATTTAATCTCTTATCTTGAATCTAATAACTTACTTTCTGATCATCGATATGAATTTTCATCTTCTCATTCTACAACTGATTTGCTAACATTAATAACTGATAGGTTTTATCATGCATTAGATAAAGGAGGAGAGGTTAAGGCCATCACTCTTTTTCTAAAACTTTTGATAAAGTTTGGCATGCTGGTCTTCTCTATAAGCTCTCTTATTTCTTTTCTTCTTTTTCAATTTTAGTATTAAAGTTGTCTTTGATGGACAGTACTCTTCTTCATATCCTGTAACTTCAGGGGTCCTCAAGGTGCTCTCCTTAGCCTTATACTATTTTTGATTTACATTAATAATCTTCCAGATATTCTTACATTTAAGGTGGTATAGTTTGCTGATAATACTACCATTTATTATTGTCTTGATTAAAAGCCAACACTCTCTTACTGCTTGTAAGGGAATTTGAGTTTAAAATGGATCTTACTTTAGGTACAGCATGGGGCTCATAGTGGCTGGTGAACGTTAATTCAGATAAAACCCAATTTTTTTCAGCTAATTGTTATCGTAATACATTAGATCTTCATATATTTATTAACAGTAATGTATTTGATGAGTCATCTATTTCTCTATTCTACAAATACTATAATGGGCACTGCTCTGAAGAGCTAGCATCTCTTCTGCCATCTACTAAAATTCATTCTCGTGTAACTCATCATTCAATTAAGTCTTATCCTTGTTCTGTGACTATTCTTAAGTGCTACAAAAACTCTTATTTGTCTAGTTTTTTTCCTCCAACATCAGTTCTTTGAAATTTGCTTTCTTCTTCTTGCTATCCTGATTCATATAATTTGCAATCTTTTAAGTTGTCTGTCAGTTGTTATCTTGTTCTATAAACTTTATCTTTTGCTCTATAAACTTTATCTGCAGCCTTGTTGGAAGCGAAGATGTTAAAAAGAAAACAAAAAAACTTGGAAAACAGTAAAAACATAGAAAAAAAACTTAGAAAACAGTAAAAACATTATTTACAAACAATGTATTTGCTTTTTATTAAGATAATTTTTATTAAGACTTTTAAGAAGAAGTAATAAAAGTAAGTTTAAAAGTCTTTTAAATGTTTTCCCTAAAGGCATGATTTATTTATTCTCTTATCAATATTTATTCTCTTATATAAATTTATTCTCTTATCAAAGTTATTTTATTTTCTTTAAACATGTGTGTTGTTTGTATTAAGAATCAATAAAGTAATTCAGTTCATGAATTGAATTCATTAAACAAATGAATTTAAATAAATAAATGTAAAATTGTTTGTAATGTAAAAAAGTATTACAAGATAGTAATTGAAAAATAATTACTTTTTTAAAAGTAATTAAAAAAGTTTTAATTATAGTTTATAGTAACACTAAAAGAGTTGCATAAATTAGTGCCACTATTTTATGCCACTGGATTTGTTTTCAAGCAAACTGTGATCAAGTTATAGGTAAGTTGAATTAATTCAAAATTGAGCAAAAGCACTGAAATTAAAAAAATATATATCAATCACACTAAAATTGAAAAAAAAACGCACTAGTCCTTGGAATTAGGAAAAATGAGGGCGGCATTAGAATAGTGCAATTAGAACAATCTTAATCACTTCAACACTTCTAGGTTAGTGATTAAATCAACATTGCAGAATGCTAACCCTATTTCTGAGGGCTGAAGCCCATAATAAATGTTTTATAATTTTAAAATAAGCAAAGAAAAAATAGTTTTTAATTTGAAATCCCTTAAGCAAGTTTGAAAAATTGTGTTCATATAAAATTTTAATAAGATATTTATATAAACAACGTCTTTATAATTTTAGTTGTTGATGAAGCTGAAGATTTTGATGTGTTTCCAACAGAAGATGGGGTATGTTGTAAATAAAGTAAATTATGTATAAAAATAGTATTTCTTTATATATAATTATTTGTATAGAATTTATTTGTTTTTAAATTTATAATTAAGAGTAAAGAGTCAGATTTACAAAAACAAGAAGCAGAGGAGGCAAAGAATGAGAAGAATTTGTTGTCTTTATTTTCTTCCATGAAAGTTTATTTATCAAGAGAAGTTCCTAGAGATGCTCTCGTTTTTATTTTAAGGTATTTCTTTATTTTGATAAATGTTTTATATATTCATCAATTTATCAATAATATTTTTGTTATATAAAAAAATGATTTTTTAAAATAATTACTATTAATTATTTTATTAAAAACATAAACATAAATTACAATTGTGAAAACAATCACATTTCTCTATGTGAACACATACAATATAAACATAAGTAAAGTTATGCATAAAAAACTAAAGTCCATTATATAGCATTTTCATGGAACTCTGCTCCAAGCATTTTACTGTTTAATGGATTATTTTCTGGTCTTTCCTGTCTTAATCCAGGAAAGTATGTAGGAGGCACAATTTTTAGATGGGAGACAACAATGAAGCCTTGTGGTTGATCTGCCAATTAAGGCCATGCAGTTAAGGTTTTTTTGGTTTGGTTTTTTTTTGATTCGGTTTTGAATACAAAAGTAACGATTCGTTTTTTTTTTCAGTTTGGTTTGAACTTTTTTTTGATCGGTTCAGTTTAGTTTTGGTTAAAAACAAAACAAATTTTTAGATCATTTATTTAATAAATTTAAAATTAGATATTTTTAAAAATATCAAAGAAAACTAAAAATTAATTTTTATTTTTTTAAAATTCTCTTTTATATAAACATTTTTTCAACATTTTCAACCGCCAAAGTAGTTCTTCTGGGAGTGACAACGTTACCCAGAAAAAACCCGCTTCGAAGTTGCAGAAGTTGCTGGTATACAAAAATATTTTCGTGCATAATTTAATAAAATTGGGTACTGCAATTTCATAATTTTCCACCACTCTAAAATATTTATTATTTCTTCAGCTGTTTCGGCTGCTAAATAATGATCAATTTCTAAAGCCAATTTAGTCATCATTGAAGCCCTGCGTGCTGAAATATCTTGTTTCAGTCTTTTTCTATCCAGTTTGTGGTGGTTAACTATAACATTTTCATCACTTTCATTGTCTGTTTTGCTGCTACTCATTAAAGCTTTTTCATGTTTTTTCTCTTTTTTCTGAGTCAGTATTGCTTCTTTTATTTCATCACATTTTTTTATATTCAATCAAATGCAGGCCTTTGTATCATGGGTCTAAAAAATTTGCAAAACAATTAATCAGCTATTCAGCACCATTAAGAGGATATCTTTCTTGAAATTCACAAATAGCATTTTTATAAATGTTCGTGTTGGCTTGTGTTTGTGATGTTGATGGGAAAGAAGCTCTTGGTGCAAGGAATATAATTCAGGTATTACTTCTTGGATTGTTGGTCTTATATGGGCTGATGAGATTACTGAAACATTGTAAATTTTTTAAAACAAATTGAATGCTGTATTCTAATGTCTTTCATTAATCGTCTGAGGGACATGGCCTTTCAAACTCATCATTGGTTTTCGCAAGTCTTTTAATTGCATCTTTGACTTCAAGGACTGACTTTATGCACACCTAATCAGAATTACATCGTGTTGTACATGGAAAAATCAATTTCATTGGCTTAATTCCAAGTTTTTTCACAAGCATCTTGAAGCTTGGTTGTAGAGAGTACACTTCTATGTGTGTGTGATGCTAAATCTGTACAGTTTTTTATTGCTTTAGAAAGTTCAATTGAATTTTTGATTGCTTTAAGAATAACTAGCTGGATTGTGTGATTATTGCAATGCAATTCTGAGTTATTTTTATCACTTTCTTTAGCAGCTAAAACAATGTTGCTACCATTGTCATTAATGTAGGCTCGATGGACTTCTTCATTCAAGTTATGAGTTCAGGTTTACTGCAATAGCAACTTCATTGTGTCTACCAGTAAATGGTGCGCAAGCAATGAGAAAACTTTCTAAATTAATTGTGAACTAATGTAGTGAATTGTAAGACTCATCTAGGATTCATTGTTTCCAATTGCCCAGAGATCTGTTGTAAAACTAACTCCAGTTACTTCTGGAAAATCTTTGAGAAATTTTATTTGCAACCCCTCCTTTACCTTTTCATACAACATAGAAAGTTTTTGACGTCTAAATGTCGATGCAGATTTTACAGTAAATTTGCAATTTACTTCATCAATAAACTCTTGTGCACCTTCATTGTCTAAAATTTCAAAAGGTAGACCAAGTTTGCAAATAAATTTTGTTAAATCGAAGTCAAACTTTAATTGTTTTGGATCATTTAACCCATATTTTTGGTTTTTTGTAATGGAACTTTCAATTATATTGTTTTTTTCTCTTTTTCTATAAGTTTTTGTTTATTAAGTATCTAGGTAGTTTTTAAAACATGTTTTTTCCAAGATGCTTCATGTTTAGTTTTGACGTGGCTGGTTATTGTTGAAGTACTGCCACAGTTTATTTGTTAAGATTTGAAGCAAATTTTACATTTTGCTTCAAACTTACTTGACTTTTCAAAGAATTTATAAATATCACTTTCTTTTGGCATCTTTCATGTGAATAAAATAAAAATGATTAGTGAGATAACTAAACTGTATAATAAACATGAATAAATAAACATAAATAAAAACTTAATTTTGAAAAAGTATAATATCAGATAACAGCATAAATAAATTTAACTTCAAAATCCTTAAAAGTATTTTAGTTATTTTTTATAACATTATTAGCTACAATACGAATATTAAATTATTTTACGTCTTGCATGCTCCTGCAGGCATTAATAATATTTAAATATCAAATTTTTTTGATTATATCACTTTCATTATTTAAACAATGAAAACAGTTTAAACAAAATAAGGTTTTCAAAATAACAATGTTATAAGGTAAATGCTATAAACAATATTAGAAATTTAAATAAAATAAAAAATGCAGCTTTTTAGAAAAAACTTATACAATACTTTCATTTTATGACTCTTAAAAAATCCTACTCCATCGTGGTTTTAATTTCACAGTTTTTTTTGTTTCGGTTTTTTACCTAAAGAACGGTTCGGTTCGGTTAACCGCACGGCCTTACTACAAATGCTTTTAGAAAAGCTATCATAAACGTTTTTGAAATAGGAAGAAAAAAAATATTGGTTTGAAACTATGAATTATTAAACAAAAGTCCTTTAATGTAAATTGAAGGTAAATTAAATAAAATTAAAGTAAAATATTATTTAAAAAAAAAAAATTCTGAATTTTTTCTCATAAACACAGTTTTTGAGTTATTATTAAAACACTTTTCTCTTTTCTTTCTTAAGTAATATCGAGTAAAAAAAAAAAAGTTATTTAAACATCTGTTTTTTATTTAATACACTGATTTTATTTAATCTAATAATTTTATAATTACTATAATATATTTATCAAATAATCAAAGTATAGAAGCTTCTAATTATATAAATTATCAAAATAAAAAATTATTTTTATGATAAATCTCTGATATTCTTACAATAATCTTATAATTTATATATATGATAATGTTATTATAATATTCTTATGATAATCAGTGTACACATTAACATGTAACATTTATTATTCATGCATTCAAGCACAATCGATTCATATTAATGCTTGATATCATTTGCAACAAAGTGAAACTGTATTTAAGATAAAGAAATTTTGTTTATTTTTAAATTGAAACTAAATGGAAGGTATAAAAAAAATGAAAAAGAAGGATAATATTTTTATAAAAACAAACTATTGTAAAAATCTTATATAACATTAAATAAGAATGTTAGAATGTTAAAACAAGCCAAAATGTGAGCGCGTGCTCAATAAGGAGAAGAATTTTACAGTTTGTGATGTACAAAAAATGTAAATCACAAAACACTGAAAAATACTCATACCTTGTTTACTTATACCTTTATTAAAAATAAAACTTATAAAACTATCATTGCGCAGCAAATTAAATTAAAAAAAAAAACACTTATAAATCATTTTTTTTCATAAAGTAATTTTTTTAGAAGTACTAGCTTGTCTATTAAATTTTGTCATAAACTTTGCACAGAAAATATCAGCGGTTGAAAAAACTCTAAAAAATCAATACCAAAAAATTTTTTAAATGTTTTTGACTGTTGTCGATTTTATGTTACTGACACTAAACGTTTTTAGTTCATTTAAAAAAAAATGATGCAAAACTGTTTTTGTTTCGGTTTTTGAATTGTTGCAAGCATGCTTGTGCAGCTTGCAACAGTTCAAATTATGCCGCAAAATTGTTGCAACAGTGTTTGATAGCTGCAATTAATGCAGATTCTGAATTTGTTGTTATTGGCATTATTTATCATCATTACTTTATTTCATATCCTCATTTAAAATTGGCTGTGGATCTAGAAAATAATCTTTCAGCTAACATTGTTGCAAAGAAAAAATGCAGATGCCTTAAGAGTGAATGAAAGTTCCACCAATTATCTTTTATAGAAAAGTTTTATTTTGCAAGAACTTATGTAACTAATTCTTTATTTTATCTGAATTTCTTTTTCTTTTTTTTTTTGAGTTTTCAAGTTTATATTTCAACATTTTACAGTTTTGACTCATTTGAGTAATTTAAAACGACTTTTTCTGCAGTGAATAAATTGGTTTTGATTAGTTCATTTTATTGCTTAGTTCTTTTTATCGTTTTATTTATGATTAGTTCATTTATTGCGAGTTCTGTTGGTTTATTGTTTAAAAGTTAAGCAATATAAAAAAGCTTGTTGCATCAAACTGCTCTAAAAATATTATTTAAATTTTGACAACACAAAACAAGAAAATCATAGAAATATATTTATAACACGAGGCTACTAAAAATTTGCACAAAAAAGAATTGTTTATAATTGTCATTCAAATTATATTATTGTTTCACAACTGATCAAATAAGTAAGGATAGCAATAATAGATCATCTTACAACTGAAAGTTTCCCATGATCAACAGCGTAGCGAATTTTAGTCTTAAGCAACAAAGAAAGTTTTCAAAATATTCTGGAATGAAATCTCGTAACTTAAGTTGAATTCTCTTTTTCAGTTAGTTAACATTTTTTATTCGAACTTATTGAAATAGACTCTCTGTTTTAGGTCAGCCCAAAATGTCTTAATGGGCCTTAATTGCGATATATTTATTGGATTATCATCCCTAGAAACATAAGTTATATTAAACTTCTTATAAGTTTCATTTGTTATCTTTGCATAATGACAGCTTGCACCATCAGGCCAAAATATATTTTTTATATTTTTGCAATGCGAATTGACAAAGGGAATAAGTTTCTTTTAATGCATTCTTTGGAATATATTTTTGTATCAATGGTATTATTCTTAATTGCAAAGAAAGGCTTTGATTCACCAAATCTCCTGATTGTAATCCATACTAAAACTTTTGCTTGAAACTTTAATTTAAACTTATATTTAATATTATTTTCAGTTTTGTTTTTATGCTGACTATAAAAGCCATCATTTCCTGGTGTGTTTTGGCTTCTCAATGTAAATTAGGACTCGTCATCCATAATAATTTCAAACTCATTTAGCGGTCGAAAAAAATTTTCGAAAGTTTTAACAGTCGTTGTTTTTGTTTAATTATTTGAATTTCAGATCTTTTTAGTGGTTTCTTTCTTTTGAAATATTTAAGTCCATGCATGTTAAAAATTTTATAAACATAACTTCTATAAAATTCATATTTAAATGCAAGTTTTCTCTGGGAGATTCCAACTTTATTTTCAGCCTTGTTGAGTTGTTGTTGAGTGAAGTAATTTTTCTTATGTCTATTTTGTATGGTTTTCTGCCGCTTTCCGAATTTCTTTAAAGGTCAATATTGTCGTCAACTCTTTTAATAATATAAATTGTTTGCCTTGCAATTTTCATTTACATAAAATGATGCACTGTAAATGTTTTCCCTTTGTCTATGTTATTTAAATAGAAGTTTCCAATAAGCTTTCCTTTGTCGTTTTATTTAATTCCATCCATTTTATTTATATAATTTAATTGCCAAAATAAGTATCAGTTTATGAAATAAGAATGTCTAGTGAATATATTTAACTTCGAACTGCAGAAATATTTGAATTTGTTCGCAAGTTTCAAACGTTCAAATTTTGTGCAAATTATTAGTAGCCTCGTGTTTTTTTTTTTTTTTATTTGCATTCACTCCCAACAAGGCTGCAAGCAACCACTATTAAGTTGGGAGTTACTAGGAAAAAAAGAAGAACAGAGTTATAGAGCAAGGAAACGGTTCACAGAATACTTGAAAAGTTGAAGGTTGTATGAGTCAGGAAAACATGAAGATGGGAGAGAGTTCCAAAGGATTGAAGTGCGGGGAAAAAAACTAGATGAATAAAAGTTTTTAGAGCATGCAGGGACAGATACAGTAAACGAATGAGACTTAGTTGAATGACGAGTAAAACGAGAATGAATTTTAGTTGATGGAACTAGAGATGATAACTCCTTTGAGCAGTGACCATGATAGTATCTGTAGAAAAGAGAAAGAGATGCAACTTTACGACGATGGGAAAGAGGTTCAAGTTTAGCAGATAGTCCAGGTCCAACAACATTTACAATGCGTTTTTGGACCTTGTCAAGAAGAGAAAGTGAATTGTTAGAAGAACCAACCCAAATATGACAACAGTATTCCATACAGGGACGAATAAGAGATTTGTAGAGGTAGAGAATTGAATCAGAAGTAAGGAAATGGCGAGCACGTTAAAGAGAAGCAACCTTAGCAGAAGCTAATTTAGCAATCGATTGTATATATGGTTTCCATGAAAGGTCAGTAGTAAGCGATAATCCAAGAAGACGTAAAGAGGAGGACTCAGTAAGAGGATTGCCATTCATTAATATAGGAATGTTGACCATATTACGGTAGTTGTTTTGGGTTTGCAATTGCAATTGGGTTTTTTTTGAGTTGAAATTCACAAGCCACTGTGAACCCCAATCTATTACTGAAGTGAGATCAGATTCAAGATCAGCTGCTTGTTCTAGGCGATCGAAAAGAGAAGACTTTTTGTCAAGACAGGAGTATAAAGTTGAGTCATCAGCAAAAAGAGCTACTTTAGATGAAAGGTTGTCAGGAAGATCGTTTATGTAGATAAGAAACAAAACAGGGCCCAGGATAGAACCTTGGGGAACCCCAGAAGTTACTGGAAATAAAGAAGAGTGTTGGCCTTCAAGGATGACTTTAATAAACCGGTTAGAAAGAAATGATTTGATAATCTCAAGAACTTTCCCAGAAACACCATATGAAGCAAGCTTATGGAGAAGACCAGCATGCCAAACTTTGTCGAAAGCTTTAAATATGTCGAGAGCAATAGCCCTAGCCTCACCGCCTCCATCTAATGCACGATAAAATCTTTCAGTTACAGCAGTTAGCAAGTTACAATGAAATGTATTTATATTATGTATATATATCTTATTTGTTATATATAAGATATAAATTTCAAATATATATATTCGAATATAGGATAAATCTATACAACTAAAACACTTAACTACATTTAAAAATATTGTTTACAAATTAAATAGTAGAAGAATTATGAAATATAAGATAATAAAAGTCATAATAAATTAATTTCATTTCATTTTTAAAAATTTATACAAAATATATTTTCATACGAATATATTCATTATCAGTTAAATTAGGATATTTTTAAAAAAAGTAAGTAAATATAAAAAAATTATGAAAAGTTTCATAAACACTTACTTCCATAAAAGCTCTCTAAATGTTGTACAAAACACTGTTCACCCTTTTAAAATGGAATTTATATTTATTTGATTTGTAGGTCCTTTGGCGCATCTGTGTCTTGGGATAAGACAGTAGCCGTTGGCTCAACTTTTACAGAAGATGATGAATCAATTACGCATCAAATAGTTGATAGACCAATTATAAAAAATCAAGTATTATCCAGGTTAGATTTTCCTAAATCTTTAAACTAGTTTTTGAACTAGGTAGCTACGTCATCAAAATTAAATAGTTTCATTTTATTGAAAGTCTAATTTTATTTTACTTTAAGACATTATCTCCAACCTCAATGGGTCTTTGATTGTGTAAATGCACGTAAACTTTTGCCCGTTGACGACTATGTACCAGGTGCATTGTTACCGCCACACCTTTCACCTTTTGTAGAAGAAAAAGAGGGTGATTACATACCACCCGAAAGAAGACAAATGATTGAAATGGAGAAAGAACTTTTAAAGAAAAATGCAGAGGCTGAAGAAGAAATAGGTAAATTTGTTATAATATATTTTGTGCCATTATTTATTTTGAACTTCAAAATCTACTTTGCGTGTCGTATTGTTCTACTATTGACAGTAACAATATTTTTGGTAGACTATAATGTTTTAAATATGTAGTGCATAGCGCGTATTTTATAGTTAATATAGCTTTCAGTAACTTTTACTAACATTCAAACAATGAAATATTTTTAGCTAGTTTTTTTTTTTTTTTTTTTTTTTATCATTAGTTTCAGCAGGTGGTAAACGCAAAGCAGAATCAGACACTTTGACTGCCGAAGAAAAGAAATTAGCAGTATCTATGCTTCCCAGGAAAAAGAAAGCTTTATATGAAAAAATTATGCATTCTAAAAAAAGAAAGGCATCACAGGTGCGATTTTCTTATAGATATTTTCTTATAGATATAATTTTTTTTACCAATAACATTCAATTCGTTAATTTGTAAACAATTTAAATTAATACTCTAATGCAAAACTTATCGATGAATTTATAATAATAACAATAATAATAATTTTATTCGTTTTTAAACGAAAACTTTCCTTAAAGAATTTGCTTTAAATGATCTGATTATTTTAGTTCGTTATTTTTGTTATATTAGGTTCGTAAACTGGATGATAAACGCAAACTTCACGATGAGGCACAACTACGAAAAAAAAAAGATAAAGCAAAATAATTTCTTTTTGATGATTTTTAATAAATTTTATAAAAACAATTTTTTTTTTATCTATAAAACTCTGATATCGTGTACTTAAATTAGAGAGCTTAAATTACTTAAAAAAAAACTTGAAACTCGAAAAGCTTGAAAACTTGGATATCAAATACTAATTAATTTTATTGTATTAATTATAATAAACTAGTAAACATGATGTTAACCGTGAGCTGTTTTACATTATGGTCTGTAAAACTGCTTACGGTTAACCTCACGTTGACATATTCCTGTTTAAGTGTTTACCAATAAGGAAAAAAAAATTACCTCTTAATTCAATGATTTATTGAAAAACTAAAACACCAACAAATTATTGATTTAACAATAGGGTAATTACACCTATTACTGGCATCACTTTTACAAGAAATGCCCGTTACTGAAAAAAACTCAAAGTATATCGTCCCTTTAGTATTATCTTGTTCTATCTACAAATGTAATGAATAAATTGTTCTACCTAATTTGTAAAATAAATACAAAAGAAAATTATATATGAAGAAGTTCAATGTAATATGTTATATCAGGCAGAACATTGTGTGTGTGTGTGTGTGTGTGTGTGTATATATATATATATATATATATATATATATATATATATATATATATATATATATATATATATATATATATATATATATATATACACACACACATATATATATATATATATATATACACACACACATATATATATATATATATATATATGTATATGTTTAATTTTGCTGTGAGCCAAGAACTTCTATAAGGAAGGACGCGCAAAGTCGATTTTCTGACTCCGCTAGCGAAGGACAGTCAATATTTCTCATTTAACTCCTAAATAACTAAAATTGGCTTAAACAAAGTTTTATAAAATCAAAATTATGAAATACGATGAAAATAATTTTACGTAATTATTAATAGCAAAATCAAAACTTATTTTAAAAAGCTTAAAAAATCGATATAAAAAACCTCAAAAAAAAAAAACAAAGAACATATTATTGACACAATTTATTTATAAAAAAATAAACATATACTTAAACTTGATATAACTTCGTAACGAAATAAACAATACAATATTTGTCAAGTAAAAAATCTAAAAAGAAAGATTCACTACTCAGCAACACGTGCCTTCTTAATTGATGTCTTATAAAGACATGCATTTTTTGCTTGGTCTTTATCCAAAATTCTGAATTCCATGCAGAAGAACATTTGCCAAACGCCTAAAAAGACTCTTTGATGATAAACCAAAATCATAATATGTGACATAATATGTTATAGATCATGCTTTGTGCTTTGTTTTTTTTTTACAAAGCATAAACCAATTCTAACTAGCTGATAAAAACACTCATGTGGAACTGTCAAATATCCCCTTGAAACTTCTTTTATAAAGTCTTTAGCCTTGTTAGTTCAGGTTTATCATCCGGATAAACTAGTTTGTCTTCACATTTTTTCTCAAGCCATCCTGCTACATAGGTAGCAGAGGTCTCTTCAGTTTCAGAAAGACTCACATCATAAATGCATGTTTCAATTGAGGTTGCATCTTCAATACTTATTGGACCCTCACATATGTGACTTTTTTATTGGGTTGTCCTACTTCCACTGATTCTAAAAATGATGCAGCAAATCTAGCTAAACGCTTTTTAAAAGCAGAGAAAACATCACCAGCTGCCATAAAAGCATTTGCCCCTGTTGATTGTCTATAAACAGAAAAATCTCCTTCTATTTTATCACTTTGTAGCTCACGAAGCAAAACATAATCAAAACCAACTGAAAACAAATGTGTTTTTTTTTTTTTAATTATTCACCTTCCCAAGGCCCGAGGGGGCCACTACAGTCGAGGAGGCTACTCTTTTTTTTGTTGTTGTTGTTGTTGTTGTTGTAAATCGTGGTACAACCTTCTCTCAACTCTTTAACTCCGAAACACGAACCTTGACAAGCAAGGCTGCGCGGAGAAATTAAGTTGAGCGCGGTACTTCCAGGGACGTGGTGGGAGTCAAACTCCGAACCTCTCGCTTACAAAGCAAGCGCAATTACCACTACACCACTACTGCATAAATTGTTTAAGATAAAATGTTTACAGACAGCTATCAATCCTTTAGTAGTTTGCACAAGGGCTTTTTTGGTATCATGGGTAACACACTGAACTCGTTTAGGTCCATGTCCTGATTCCATACATTTAAATATGTCTAAAAATAATTGAAGAATATTTGAATTTTTATTAAATAAACTTCAATTTGTTTAAGTCATTATTTGGATTCAATATATTAGCTAATTAAACAGAAGTTCCATGTTTAAAAGCTGAAAAGGTTAGCGGTGAACACAAGGTATTTTTATCATAAACAATAATCGTCACAAAACTCTCTTTGAAATCTTTTGACATAAAAATGCATATGAATTTATCATCTTGTCAAGATATTAGTATATTTTTATACTTTTTGTGCAATTTATTGTCAGGATGAAAATCAGAAAACGAATTTATTCTATCTTTTTTGATGAAATAATTCAATTACATGTCTTCAGATTTAGATTGGCGAGGCACAGGTTTTGGCGTTGGTAAACAAGAAAAAGGAACATTAAAAATACAAGGTGCACATGCTGGTCGAGTATAGCCACCAGACAGCTTAATCATTTCTGTATTTTCAGGCCAATATTTTTCACATTTAAAAAATTTAGATGGCTCAATAATAAAATGTTTACCTAAAGGAGGAACATTAATCCATTTCTGTTTCTCAACTTCATCTTTCGGTAATTTAAAAATATGACACTTATTAAGTTTATTATATTTCCCTTTACAATTTACAACGCCACGTTTGTTCACCATGATAATGGTTATAATTTTAAAAAAATGTTACAGGAACGTTAAAGATCTCTTCAACTTTGATAAAAATAATGGCCTTCGCTAGCGGAGTCAGGACGTCGACTTTGCGCGTCCTTCCGTATAGTAGTCCTTGCTGTGAGCATATATTCAGCAAGAGTGCTCGATAAATGATATCAGAACTATATAATTGATTTTTTGACGAGATTAAATAAAAAATAACTACATAATTTTTACTACTAAAAGTTTCATGCGTTTAGCAATCATCAGGTAAAAATACTTTGTTTTTTCGTTAAAAAATATACGATATAATAACATCGTGACGTTCAAAAACAATTATAAAATGTTATTATTTGCAAGCGTGGTTTGGTTTTTAAATCCCTAGGCTTGTGGTTGTCAAGCAAGAACTTGTTTTCATAACGCTGCTTAGATATTATTTCTGTTTTTTTATTTAATAGTTCTTGCATACCTATGTATGATATTATGCAAAATTTTTCATGAAGGCAAAGCAAGCATTTTTTTGTTACGTTGCTGTAGGCGGGGACTTGTTTAATTATTGACCAAGTTAATTTGGGTGTCATTTTTTAAGTATTTTTTTTATCTGCCATATATACTTTAAAAGGGTTGTTGAATTTTCCATCTTTTTGTTTGTGAATGAGTGTTTGTGGTTAGCCCATTTTTTCTTGCATTCACCTTCTGCTAAGCCAATATATACTTTTTAACCCTAACCCTAACCCTTTGAAGCTCTGCATTTTCCTATTATAGGTCAGTTTTCTTTATTTATGCAATTGCAGGGTGGGTATTCTTTTGGTCTTTTTGAATTGATTTTCTTGTTGTGGCTTTTTATAATTCTTTCGATATTTTTGGTACAGCTGTAACTCACTTTGATGGTGTTTTGACTGAATAGTTTACTTAGGGGATGGGATGTTGGAAAATATTTGTCGAATAAGTTAAGGAAGATATGTCCGACATTGGTAGAAACGCTTTTACTATACGGGGAGTTGAACCATATTATATTTCTTTTTCTTTTCTTTTTTTCTTTTTTTTGGGGATTATACTTTAAAATAAAACCAGTGAAGCCGTTTCTTCTTAATTCATCTTCGTATTCTGGTATAGATAAATTAAATTTTTTTTCATTTAAGGAATTTTGTGATAATCTGTCGTTGATAGAGATTGGAATTTGCTTTATTATTTGCGGAGGATGGTTAGAATCAGTGTGGATGTAACGTAGATATTCATTTGGTTTTTTGAAAGGTTGGTAGGAGTTTTTTTCTAGAGAAAACATATAAGAAGTTGACTGCGGGTAGGTTTGTTTGGATCTCTATTTTAAAACCGATCATTTTAATAACTTTAATTATGTTTTTTCGTAGGCTATCAATTTGTGATACAGTTTTTTTACGAAGTACCATCAAGCCATCGTCACGATATAGTCCAACGTCTTCCTTATTTATTATTTTAGAAAGTGAGTCTAATATATATAGGCTCACCAGTTCACAAACTTCTGCACCGTCAAAACAACCCATTGTGACATCAAAGCAGTCGTGTGCTAAGTTTTTCTTCTAATATATATATATATATATATATATATATATATATATATATATATATATATATATATATATATATATATATATATATATATATATATATATACATATATATATATATATATATATATATATATATATATATATATATATATATATATATATATATATATATATATATATATATATATATATATATATATATATATATATATATATATATATATATATATAATATAATATAGTATCCTGATGAACCTACTGATGGTGAAACATGCTGTTTAAGAACACAAAAATCAGATAAGTGTTTTAACTAAACTATTATTGCTCTGTTCTGTAAGAACATTGAGCTATTTGTAGAATACACTATCTAATATATATTAGATAGAACAACTTATTTATTACATATGTAGGTAGAACAAGATAATACTGAGGGGATGGTATGATGAAAATTAAAAGCTCTGTTTTGTGTAAAAATTTTTGTGATTATAATAACACAAAAATACATATAACGCAGATGATAAATGTAAACAATTTTACTTAACACTGGTCATCTCAACTATTTATCGGCCGTTGGCCAGAAATTAGGAAACTGATGAATAGGGGTAATGTAAATTGATTTATCATAAAATTAAAAAAAAATTAAACCAAAAAAAAAGCACAGC